AGCTAAGAGCGAGGTTAACAAAGTTTGCGGATGGCAGCGGAAATTGGCTCCGTCGATAGTCTAACGTGCGTCGCGATGACAAACAGTGGGGCCGTTGCGGGGAAAGCGTACCTTTGCGGCTCTAGACCATCAAATCCGGGTGTGGCAGGCAAGCTAGATTCTTGCACCGTTGCCAGCTTGGGAGCCGCGCCGCCGGAACTGCGCGAGGGCGCCTTGATGGTTTGCTGAGGCTGTGTCTGTGGCTGGGATGGTGGCTCGTCGACGTCGCTCACGGGCACGTCTTCTCTCACTGGGAAGCGAGAGACTGAGGCTGGGGACGAGCTCTGGACGACGATAGCGGGCGTCGACTGGGCCTCGGGCTTCCTGATCTGCGAACGCAACGAGTTGGTGCGCGAACGAGAGCGGCCGTCATCGCCCGGCGGTGGTGACTTGAGGCGCGGTGAGAGGGGCCAATGGGGAGTCGTGTCGCCCGAGTTCGCTCTCGACGATGGCTTGGAAGCGCGTGTGGCTCGCACCGTGTCGGTCGACGATGTTGGGGTGAGCTCCGGTATGCTGGTGGAGGAGAGAGCACGCTGCACGCCCGGGGCAGCAGTCGAGTTGGACAGGCTGGAGCCGCGGCTGGGACTCGCATCGGCGCTGCTCTTGCGTGAGCGGAAGCCCGGCCTCGCACTGGCGCCAGAGGGCGTGGCACTGCGGTGGTGAGGGCCTGCGGGCGAGGCTTCTCGCGACGAGCGCGGCGAGGGCGAGCCGTTGACGCTGAAGGGCGGGCGCTGGGCAGCCAGCGGGTGTTGACGCATGGGTGCCGACATGTCTGGGGCGGTGGTGCTGCTCGTGGGGTCGTCGCGGGCAGGCGTTGACGTAGTGGGCTCTGCACTCTCTGCCACGCCGGTCAAGGACTGGAAGCCGTCGAGGTCGTCGGCAGTGGATGCAGTCGGAGGCATCATCATGGACGTGCTTTTGCTTCAATGGGCCGCAGCACTCGTGGCATCCTGCGCGGGCTCCGGCGCGTCTTCGCTGGTTGGGGCCTGGACAGCAGGCAGGTCCGGGTGCGAATGGGCGGTAAGTAGATGAGGCTGCTGTAATGAGTACGCGGCGTGCGGCCGTTGGACAGGGCCTGGCGCGGGGAGTGAGCTGTCGCTGTCGGTACAGGGGGGCTGTGGCGCGCAGACAGCGTGGGCATTTGAACGCGCTGCAGTCGACGATGGACGAGGTTTAACGTTGTGAAGACGGGCACGCTCAAAGCTGCCTGGTTGCATCCGGCCAGCCCTGGACGGGAACGCTGACGCACCCGAGGCGCATTTCAGGCACGAACCGACGCCTGCCAGCGCATCGCACAAAGACCTGCTATCTCCCGAACACGACGAATGGCTCTCCCATCGCATCGTCAGCTGCGGCCTGCCGTCTTATGGAGTGGCTTCGACTTTCTCCACGCCCTGCACACCTTGTCTTGTGATAACGATTGATCGCCAGCTGCGCTAGCTTCCCTCTGGGGGTTTGCGCACCACGCCTACATGCCCGGCATGTCGGCACTCGCGCAGAAGCAATTCTCATGCACATCCTGCAAATCGCAAGTGAACACCCCACGGACTTCATCCCACACGCTCATGAGCAGGTTATTGTCTGCCGCGTCGACGCTTGAGGGTCGGCACGGTCTCACCTCAGACGGGTGCAGTCACTCAGTCCTCGCACTCGTAGTCTGCTGCAGGTTTCCTAATTCACTGTGCATCATAGCCCTTTAGCCGGTCGAAACATCACTGAGACGCTGTGACAACGGGAGCGCATTGCCAGAACTGTAATAATCTGGGGGCGCAGTACTGTCCAATGTAACGTGACGGACGGCTCTCGATCACGATTCGATCTTGACGTCGCGCCAGCCTTCGCAATCGACTGACATCTCTTACGTCGACTACACCGGCAGCAGACACCTAGCAGCTCCTTCACAAACTTACACATAGTCACCAAAGTAGAAAAGCGACAAAGACACGTGGCAGCAATTCCATCTCAATACTGCGCCTCCAGTAAACAACACGTTGCGCTCCTTCCATACCGTCCAAGATCCGAGCTTCGCCCGGACTTCCAATGCTCCGAACCTCCGCTGATAAGATTATCTCTGCATCTAATCAGATCGAATTTTCCGCGCTAGCACTTTCACGAACACCACCACTCCACTTTACGCATCCTCAATGCTACTTCAAGTATCGATGTTCCGGAACCAAGCACTGCCAAGTACTTGAAACCGCCTTGGTAGCCTTGTCATAGGTGCGAAATGTAGAAGGCGGTTCCAGTGTCATGGTCCTGGAGGGTCGGCAGTGGCCTGTGGTGGCCTCAAGACTGCGGCTCTGTGGGTTTATACGAGTTTTGAACGGGTGGAATAGGGTTCTGAATGTTCGAGAAAGTATAAGAACGCATTGTAAGACACAGTGATTGGGCGTAGTAGGCCTCTTCGTTGATCCTTTCTTCTCCTTTCTGGCCGGACTGCGCTATCGCTTCGGTGTCAGACAGCATGCAGTTTCTCTCTCGTCCCAAGAACCAGGCTACCGACTCTGTCGAGCCCGCCGATATGTCTCGTCAAGCGGCCGACACAGAGAAGGGTGTACATACCGATGCATCTCACGACAAAGCTACCGATCAAGAAAGTCTCTCCAGCAACGCCCAAGCCGGTGTCAAAGCCGTCGAGGCGGCGGCAACAGTATGGACGAAATACCATCTCATTGGCGCCTATGTCATGTTTGTTTCATCCATCCATCTTCATACCTCGACTAACATGTATCCAGCATCTGGTGGATTTACTTCGTCACTGCCCTCCAAGAAGTCGTCATTCGCGCCATGAACCCCTACGTAACCAGCGCCTTCCGCCTTCACTCCCTCACAGCCGCTACAGGGATCATGTCCTCCATCATCGGCGGGTTGTCTAAGATCCCCTTAGCCAAACTACTGGACATGTGGGGGCGACCACAAGGACTTTTGCTCTCGCTGTGCGTGTGGATGGTGGGATACATTATGATGGCTTCGTGTAAGAACGTGGAGACGTATGCTGCGGCTCAGGTCTTCTCTTCTACTGGGTGAGCATCATCTCTTGTCAGGCAAGGTCGGAAAGAACATCGCTAACAACATGTCAGATCACAAGCAGTATCCTACATCCTGACCGTCTTCATTGCCGATACCTCAACGCTCAAGAACCGCGCTCTCATGCTCTCCTTCGCAACCTCGCCCTACATAATCACAACCTGGATCGGCGGTCCCGTTGCACAATCCGTGCTCTCTGGGCCAGGCTGGCGCTGGGCCTTCGGCATCTTCACCATCATCATCCCCGTCGTCGTCACACCTCTCGCTGCGTTGGTCCTCTTCAACGACAGGAAAGCGCGGAAGCAGGGTCTACTTGAACCGCGTAGCATCGACTGGAGCGCCGCAGCCATCAAGAAGTTTTGTGTCGACATTGATGCTGTTGGTATCCTGGTACTGGTAGCAGGTATGGCGCTGTTCTTGCTGCCATTCAGCTTGTACAGCTATCAAGCGGAGAAGTGGAAGAGTCCTATGATCATCGGAATGATTGTTGCTGGCTTCATCCTACTCATCGCATTCCCCATCTGGGAAAGGTTCTTCGCACCTGTCACGTTCATCCCGTACAAACTGCTCCTGGACCGCACCGTCTTCCTCGCCGGCATCATGTTCGTCTTCGTCTACTTCAACAGCGCAGTTTGGGGAAGCTACTTCGGGTCCATGCTACAGGTGGTCTGGAACCTCAACGTGACCACCGCCAGCTACGTCCAGAGTATCTACCGCGTTGTGTCTTGCTTCTGGTGCTTGGCGGCTGTCGGACCGGCAATTAGGATCACCGGGCGCTTCAAGTGGGTTGCCGTCTTCTTCGCACTGCCGATTGACATCCTGGCCCTGGGGCTGATGATCCACTTCCGACAGCCGGGCACATCAGTGGGTTTCATCGTCATGACGCAGATCTTCACTGCAGTCGCAGGAGGCACGATCGTCATCGCAGGTGAGCTGGCCATGATGGCGCCATCAGATCATCAGCACATGGCCGTCATCATCGCTGTTCTCAACCTTTTCTGCTCTATTGGCAGTGCAGTCGGAAGCACAGTATCAGCTGCTATCTGGACTGGAACTTTCTACAATAACCTCGTCAAAAACGTCCCGGCTGGTGTCAATGTCGCGGATATCTACGCCTCACTGCCTAACCAGCTGTCGTACAAGTGGGGATCGCCCGAGAGGACTGGCATTGCGCAGTCGTATGCTGATTCACAGCGACTCATGCTCATCACTAGTATCTGTATGCTGGGGTGCGCTCTCATCGCCGCGGCGGGATGGCGCGACATCAACGTCAAGAACATCAAGCAAGTGAAGGGGCGCGTCGTGTAAATGTCCTTGCATACCAGAACTAGATAGCTACTGTATTATCTTAGTACAGCAACGTCAAAGTAATACCAAAAGAGTCTATGCGCATAAACACGTAGCCCCGTTCATAGATGTTTCAAAACACTCCAGTCAAAATACTCGCACATCATCAACTTCCAACACTCTACCCCTCTCACGCATAAACCTCATCCCCGTCCCACATCCTTCTTATCGATATCCCACCCCCATGATCCTAGCGTGCATGAACGTCAGTCGCGTCTGAGACAGGGCCGGGCTGGGATGTCGTCAAACAATGCGCCAGTTAGATCCCGGCTGTCGGTGTTTCGCATCTGACAACCTCCACATTCAGTGAGTAGACAGACGTCAGATAGCCATTTGGCATCGTGGAAAGGAGATTATTCAGGGAATCGGGATGTGTGATTAGAGGGTGTGAAGATGGAGAGGGGTATTGGAGGACGCGTGGGTTGCGGGGGCTGTGCTTGTAGGGTCTGTAGGCGGCGTGGTGGGTTGGGGGTATGTAAAGAGTGAGATGGGAGCGAGATGTTTGGGCAAGACACTGCTCTTCAGTCATTCCTTCATTCATACATTTTTCCGTTAGTATTCGGCCCACAGTCTTTTCCTTAAACAACATGCCTTCCTTCGCGTTCTGGAAGAGCAACAAGCCGGATCCGTCCAAGGCACCACTGCTCAACGAAGATGCAGCAGCCCAAGACTCTAGTATGGTTATCCCTCTGGTAGCCAAAAACCTGGATCTGAATCCAGATGGAGAGGATTCTGGGGTTTTCCTTTTCGACGATGACGCCAAGCCATTGGAGCATCAACAGGTGTTGGAAGCCGTGCCTCTCATCGCAACGCCGCCTGCTGAAGAGCGGGAGCCTTTGATGCAAGAGCCTGAGCGAGAGCTTCAGGTTCCGGTCAAGAACTACTCGAAGAAGCTGATTCTGGACGACACAGAGGAGGCACCAGCACCGCCACCAAAATCGTCGCCATTGAGCCAGCCCCAAGGCACTGCTGCGACAGAGAAACTCGTTTCTCTTGCGAAGGAAGAAACAGCAGCGGTCCAACATGTCCAGGAAGCCGTTCCACAGCAAGAAAGTCCCGCGCCTTCCCCTTCTACGCACGGCCAAGACAACGCCCTCAAACGGCCAATATCTACCGCAACGGCCAGTGCCACGCAATCCCGCGACCGAGACTCTGGTGTGTATGTCTCAGACGATGACAGCCTCCCACCACAGTCCCGACCCACATCCCTCGCTCTTAACGACTCCCATCATCAATCAAGGAACTCATCTATCTCTTTGAAGCATACCGTATCGACATCGACCACTTCACCCCGTCAACGCACGGACTCAATCGCACGCCTGAAACGGCCTGCAGAGTTGAACCTAGGAACGAACCCCGTATCCGACTCTTCCAAGCCACGCTCTGATCTCGAAAAGCGGTACGATTTGATCCGCAATTCGAAGACGCAGTCGAAAGCTGCTCTGCGGTCGCCTACAGCGCTTCTACAGGAACGATTGAACATGCCTGCGAAGAAAGAGAAGGTCGAGGAAGAGAAGACGCGTGTATTCACGCCACCACGGCAGACGACGAACGGATGCTGGCTGCCGGGTCCAGGCGCGCAAGTTGACGCTTTCACCAGCACATCAGTTCGTGCGCGGACGGAAGCTGGCAATCGACCAGCTTGGTGGTGCAAAGTCGACAAACTCGTTGTGTTCGATGGCATCGATGCCGGTAGCGATGGGGATGTGAAAATCCACACTCGCACCAGCAAGGGTCTTAGCATTGCGCGCAGACGTGGCGATATGGAGACGATCGTTATTCCGATGGACTGTGCACATTGTCAGGAGATGCTCAATCGTCATGAATGGAAGTATGACATGCGCGTGTGCAAGAGGAGTGTGTGTTGGGATTGCAAGGAGAGGTGCAAGTGGGAGTTGGAACAGGAGAAGTTTGCTTCTGAGCAGACAGCGACCAGAGCGGATGGCAACAGATATCGCGCGGATAGTGTGCTGCAGGATGAAGGACATGAAGAGGAGCATTTGATGCAGAAGGTTGGTATTGAGCAATATCGGCCGATGAGCCCGATTGAGGCCTTGGGTGGTATTGAAGAGAGACTAAGGAAGTAGAAAGGTCGTGGCTTGAGAGGAAAGCAGCAAGATGGCCGAAGAAGCAGAGTAGAACGTATCAACTTACATCGTGAGCCGTCGATCGGCTTTAGCAATGACCTAGTATTGTGATACTATGTATCAGTTGTTTACCTCAATCCAGATCCATAGCGTCGTCCATGTATTCAAAAGGCGTATCTTCAATCTCCATGCTCGTGTATCCATACGACGTCTTGGGCTCGAAGTCTCGACTGGTCAAAGTACCGTTCGCAGTACCGTCGGAATGCTGCTGCACTGCTTCGTGAGCAAGGTCACATCCACCAATGATATTGCGCAACATATGCTCGAGTTGCAGGTCATGAAGCGAGAGGTTCGCGCGGGCGTCGCCGCTGGCTATGTTTGCCTTGCTATCAGCATCTTTCCACGCGTTACGGTATTCCTTCGCAATGCCCAGTTGTACACGAACGTCCTGTAGGCCCAAAGACCCTGCCAATGGGCTCTTCTCATCGTCTAAAGCTTCTAGCAGGTTCGCGTGGAAGGCATGCGAAGCCATCGGTCGCGTTCGGTGAAGATCGGGATTGGTCTCGTAACGTAGGGCGTTGAAGTTCGTGCGCGGCGCAGAGGCAGAGACGGAGACACCGAAGATGGCGAGGCAGTCTGTGATGTAGCGCTCGAGCAGCGTGTAGAATTCGAAGAAGTCGACTTTGAACATGGATTCGGCTTGTTTCTGCGCCGTGTCAGTCTCGCGACGGTAGGGGTGACGGGGCTGATAGCTGCTTACACTCGATGCGCCGCTTCCCATTGCGTGTTGGGACTGGTGGTATTCATTCTCCTGGGCAGCTGCTTGTACAATCTCCATGGTGCGGAAGTAGGACACCATGAGCATCTCGGCTTTCCAACGGACGCGTCCTAGCAAACGCGTAACGCGATCTTTGTCCTGTTTGAGCTTCTCGGCTTTCGATTGGGCTAGACTTTCGGCAGGCGTCTTTGGTGCGTACTTGGACGTCTTCATGGTGCCTGTGATATGTCTCGTGTGTGAGTCGGGGTAACGGTTGAATTAAGCTATGGAAGTAGGCATTCGTCGGGCTTTCAGCTATCCAGTCATCGATAAGCACTGGCAAAGTAATGGAGGTTGTCGTTTCGATTACACCGAGCTTTCACAGCGCTTTCACTACGCAAGTCAGGCATCGTAGAGTTCCAATATAGGCGCGGGCTGTTGCGGACATTGTGGGAAGCAAACCACTGTAGATGGTTCGTGCCGAGGCTCGTCGCTGACTCAGCTCACACTTGGATAGTCAAACACCTCCATCTGTGATCGCTTGGGGTAGAGGTACGACGCTGACATCCAGCACCACCCAAGAGAGACGCAGTGTAACATCGCATAGGATATGATGCATATACTCGTAGGTTCCGATAGGTGGGTGCGTCGCTGCCTGGAAACTATGCCAGCTGTGCCGCAGCCACGCATTTGGTTGATATGCAAGGGGTGAGTGAAGCTTACCTAGTTATATGCCGACCAAGCTCGATGCCACTCACGATATTTGCTACTCTACAATGGCGCGCGCAACCCGAAAGCGAAAGGCTGTCAATTATGACGACTACTACGACACGTCATCGGCCAGTTCCAGCATGTCTCGAGCGGGTTCCATTAAATCGACCCGTCAAAATAACAAAGGGAAGAATAAGAACAAGAAGAGGAGAATCGTAGCATGCGACGATTCAGACATCGAGGAAATATATCCTGCCTCCATTTTCAAGACGCCTCGAAACCCTCGAGCGACGTTCGAAGGCCTCCCGACTGAATTGCGTCTTCAAATCTACGATTACCTACGCGACGTATTACACATCCACGTGCGCAGACGTGGAAAGACAAAGGGAGCAGCTCCATTCCAAGCTAGAGAGCCACCGCCGTTCGTCTGGTATCCCTGCCGCCGTACCAATCCGAAGACGCGGTTGCTGTGTGCGAATCCCGAGTGGTCAGGCATGTGCAAAGAAGAAGATCGTTGCAGCTACGAAATCGATGCTCCACGCGATCCTCGAGGACCCTGGGCCCTTATAGCGTCCAACAGGGCCATCCGCAATGAAGCCAAGGAGCTTTTCCTTCGTGAAACCGTCGTGTCAGTCAATTCGCAGGACCTACAGCCCTGGTTAAACCATCTGATCAGATGTGCTCCGCAGCGCATCAATCATCTGCATCATATCACGCTTACCGGCCCGCACGAATGGAGTAGCATGTATACGTGTCTTGTGCGATTGTTGCAAGAACGCGTACCGAATCTCACAGGGCTTGGATTCCAGTTCTACACTCACGGCTGTCACTCCATCGACATACATGAGATATCTCAAAACTCAATCCAAATCGAGCAGAACGAGTGCAGGAATTGGCTGATTTCGAATCTGCTGTCCCAATTCGAAACACCTATCGCGTTTGCTCTGGAGGCCATCATATGGCATAAAACGGGACCATCGCAACGTCTTGCTATTCGAATGATTTCGCAGGACAGCGAAGATGGCGAAGACGAAGCTGATGTGTATGTTGACATCGATGACCCGGGGAAATGGGCGGAGACGGGCCGGCAGGCGAAATGGCGGAGATTTTGGCAGGAGCAGAACTACAAAAGGGGACAATGTGATTTACATTAGCAATTGGCGTACTTGGTATAAATTGTATTACAGCTTAGAACGATCCGTCCACTACTCATCAGATAATGGTGACCTCTTCTTGCTCCATATCCTCCAAACGGGCAACGTCCGCGAACTCCGGGCAAAGCTCTTTCGTTTGGCTTGTGTTATATTCTCCCCACGGATGCACAAAAAGCCCCACTCTTCGGTATAGTCGCTGAGACAAGTCGACAGGTTCCAAGATGATACCGAGTAGGTACGCCGGCTCCCATTCTATCTCGGCGTTATCGTCTACGTCCCAACGACGATAAGCCTCAAGAAGTTGAAGCACACAGAACCAGCAGCCAGCGCACAATTGTCGGCCGTCATCAAAATTCTCGGTCCATTCGCTGTAAAGAACCCATTGGTTAATATGCGATGCTCCGTTTCTTGCTGGTCTGTTAGAGGCTTTTCGCATGTAGCATGCGAGCTGGAGACGTCCGGACGATATTCTCCCAAATTGATCATCCTGAACATGCTCTATATGCACTCCGAGGACATGCGCGGGTCGCTGGTCGGACAGCTGTTGGAGTATGGGTCCTAGCCATAAGAATATAACACGTTGTTTCAATGAAATCCAAGACCACGAAGGTGCTATTGTTGAGGATTAGACAAAGTCCGACTGTTGGGTACGAGTAGCAAAGGAGCTTACGAACCTCCGCGGCCTTTTTGAAGCAACACTGCTTGATCGATATTCCACGCCAAAGGCTGTGCCCAAAGTAGACTTCGGACAAGATCCTTGTACCAGATACCACCCACGTACCGATCTTGCAATTTCGACTCGAATGCTCTTGCTAACCCCGATATGGCGGGCAGTACGTCTTCGTCGTATGTGAACTTGCAACCCGAAAACCATTGCGCAAGAGCTAGCCATCTCATGTGATAATCAACTGTTTCTTTACCTTTGTCCAGGGTATTCAGTCGCCCGAGAAGACTAGATAGTTTGAACGGCAAGTCATGGCCCCAACCAGTTCGCACAGTAAGATTCGGTGCGCCTTCCGGATGTAATTCGGTGGTGACTAGTTGTGTGCACTCCCATCCAAGCAGATCGTCAAAGTAAATAGACTTGGGGCTTAAAAGTCGTTCCTGGAAAACCCAACCGCGCGACATCAGTACTGATTGGTTGATACGTTCTACCGCATTGACTTCGTGAACAATACGAGTGAACCTCAGTGGGCCCCATTGAAAGTCCATGTAGAATGATGCGAGGCCGATTGAGTTCGATTCTGTATACAGTCCTGTTCCAGGTATATTAGAGGCCCTTGTTGCTCCCACGTGCACAAACGCATTAGCGTATATTTCCCCCATGGACGATATCTCCTGGTCACAGTCCGTGGGGTCATCCTGGATGAGGCAAAGTGCATCGATCCATATGAAGGGTACGCTTAGTCTTCGACACAAGTCAATAGCGTCTAGAAATACTGCCGGTAATCTATCCGGTTTGATGCCTTCAAGCAGCTCGTGCAGATTCGAAGTCAGAAGCTTAGGCATGTCTTCGTTCTGCCATCTATGACTCAAAGTGATGTATCTACGGTCCTTCTTGTCGGAAAGTCTGGCTGCGGTTGTAAGGTGCGGTAGATCGGCGGTTGAGACATCGATGAGTCTGGTCGGTACGAACGTGCCAGTCCTCCCGAGCTTCTCCTGATGACAAGTATAATGTGTTTCCTCGCATGTTTGTATCCATTCAGTGATGGTGCGGAGATGTGCTTCGTCGCCAGTCCAAGAAGTCAAGGCTGTCGTGACACGTACCGGGGGCAGCGCACTGAGTCCACATCTCCGATACACGAATGGCGTTCCATCCAAAAGATTGTACTCGGCGACTTCGAGTTGTAGTCCAATACCACGGTTGTCGAGACCCATGTACCCAAGAATTGAAAAGTTGATCAGTGTGAGGCCGGGCAGATTCGATGCGTCGTAGGATGGGCAGTTTGCTATATGTTTAAGACACGCTTGGAAACGACTGTCTCCAGCAATGTTTTCGATACCGTCCTCCGACTCCAGGAAGTTGAGGAAGTGGCAACAGAGCAAGCATTTTCGCTTTGCGGCTTCGGCGATGTCTTCCAAGGCATACTCAACGGGGACAATTTTTTTGGCATCCAGATCCTCAGGCAGTATAGAAAGCCTCCTGCACGTAGCACAGAACGTCGGGTTCAGCGTCTCAACACCCTGTTCTAGTTTGGACGGATCGGACGCTTCGCTAACGCTGGAGGTGGACATGACACGATGCCAACGAGTGAAGAAGCAGCCAGTCTGGGCATGTTAGTGGGCTGAAGGTAGAGGGTAGGAATGCGGGGTCGCAAGTGCTGCCTTCATGCAGGACGATTCGGGGCCAGGGCTTACACCACGTGTTGGGGGTCGGCGCTAGGGGCGCTCGCGAAAGTTTTCCTGAGTAAAGTATAAGATTCGGTGCCTTATTCAAGACGACCCTATGTCTTTACAAATGCAACGCGACAACAGAGTGCTTGCTAAACTACCCAATCCACCACATCGCATCATCATCCCATGAGGTATGCCAGTCCCATAACCCCTCAAACGCCATGGCTTCGTAGTCGATCTAGAAGGTGCCAATGACCCTCTTGACCATCTTCCTCATGCCCTCACCACTGATCTGCACAGCACCTTCAAGTTCGGCACTACGCAGCACCTCCAGGAACTCCTGGTTCTCGACTTGTTCGCTGGCGCCTTCTCGCACCTTCTTCACGAGGTCGTTCATGCGCACACTCTGGCCAGCAGAGCCGAGCTCGTCGAGCGAGGCAAGAACCGCGCGCTTGAGGTCTTCTTTCCTGCGGCGATCGCTGGTCGATGTACCTTCGGTGAGAAGCGACATGTCGATCAGACCGGTGCGTGCATCCGTAGCTGCTTGCTTGAGCGCAGACTTGATGAGACGGACAGCCTCATGAACATCGTCGGCCGTGACTTCCTCTGATAGGCGCATCTTGGCGTGCGCTTCTGCGAGACGGATCATGGATTCCAATTGACGTGTGGTGGCCGTGATTCTTCGTTCTTGCGAGCGGATATCGGCACCAAGGCTGCGCATCGCGACGTATGCATCAACGAGAGCCTTTGATGCGGGCTCAGTGATCTTGGGGTGGATGTTTGAGCGCGCGTATGAGATATAGGCAGTCAAGAACTCGATAGGCATGACCTCATTCTTGTTGGCATTCTCAGGCGTGTCTTCAAGATACATACCGACCAAATGGCGAGCCATGCGACGGTCGTTCTGCTCATCGATGCGGTCCAAGACGAGGTATACTAGATCGAAACGCGAGAGCAGTGTGGGCGGAAGATCGATGTTTTGCGGAACGGGAAGGTTGACGTTGTACTTCGATCCGATGGGGTTGGCAGATGCCA